CCAGCATTACATGTCTACGCAGTCGGCTCGAATACTGTACTCAAATCTGGTCACTACATCAAAAATACCCGGGCTTGCGATTTTGTATTACAAAGGATGTTTACGATCTACTGACTTGCCCACGTGAGACAGCAAGACCACATTATGATTGGCTCATTTGAAAACCCAGGTGGTGTACCTGAATCTGGGCCATTTATGCCTATTTAGTGAATTTATTCATTGTATTTTTCTGTGCTTTGTTTCTTGCAATTATTTTGAGAGGTATTAAAGCCAGGAACTTTACCTTGATATTTTGGTGTATGTGTATTTCATTTCCAGTACTATTGTCTTGTCTACCCCATTTTAGCAGAGAAAGAACCCCCTGTCCAATGTGAGTTCTATGGGTGCCCCTCTCAATACCAATAAACAGGCCTTACATTCCGACACCCGGCTGACCGTAGATGTTCTGAGCGAAACGGTTTTGATTATTAAAAAAATGTAAAAAAAAATATAATTCTATAATAATATTAAGTTTGCAAAAGAGAGGTGTGGAGTGAGTAGGAAATCTGAGAAAGTTATTAATAATTTAATCGGATTCAAAGTTGTGATATGGGCATTTCTAGAAACAACGGTAAATGGGGTAAAATTAAAGAATGGATCTTGGAACATAATGGCGTATACAAGAAATTATTCCAGCTTTAGGGGCAATGATTTTTACAAAGTTTTAATCAAATGACACCCAAAATATTTAGATGGCGAAACGCCCTCAATAGATGTCCCGTTGATACTCAAGCCGCCCTCAATGTTCACACATTTCTGTGAGGTTTTTAGTATCATGTAATTGTTTTTTTTAATTATTTTAATAGTGAGCTTGTTTGCACTGCACCATTCACATACTTTCTTTAGATAATTAGTAATATTGAAGAGGTTAAAGTATTAATTTTGATGATTTGAAAGAAATTGGTATCGTCGGCAAAAAACGGGAGATCAAATCCATTTGTGGATTTATTTATTTGGTCAGTGAAATATTAACAATGTGGGTCAAGGTATGAGAAATGTAATTAGCAGCATATATAATTAACTTAGGGTGTATCTGATCATGTTCTGTGCGGTGTAATGATTATAAAATCAGTGGAACTAGTTATCTTCGCAACTAGGCTAGGGCCAACGATGACGATAAAGTCATTGAAATCTTCCGCATATTTTTTTGTGATGACTGTTATATTGACGTTTTGAGAATTTTGTTTTATCGAAATTCAAAATACCATTGATTACTTTCCAAGTTTTACTTGCATTAATGTGAGCCAAAAACAATTTTACCTCTAAGTATGCACTCAGACAGTACGCCACGCATCGACTTCTGCTGTGCGTCGGTCGATACTCCAGCTGTACTCTCTTCGTGCACAGGGGCGGATCCAGAAAAATGTATTGGGGGGGGGGGGGTCCAAACTTCGCTTAAAATTTACGGAGCGTAGAGAAGCTATGCGTAATCCAGATGCATTTTCATGAGTTGGGGGGGTGCCCCCCGGCCCCCCTCTGGATCCACTACTGTTCGTGCATACTTTGAGGTATTCTCGTAATAACATTATATTATTACGTAATCTCTATTGATATACCTCAATTAACTAAAAAGCACGGTGAATGTATTCCGTAAACGTCTTCGACTTTTTTCATAGCTATCCCAATCAAATTCTTTACACTTTTGCTAGAGGTTATAGTTACGGATTACCAATAACAAGGTATTAGTTTGAATCCAGCTTGGCCAAGCTCTTCATTACTATAATACTCTTCTAAGCTTATGACACTTATTGCAGGGGTGAGTTTAGAAGTGCCCGACACTAACAAATGTATGAATAATTATCTACATATGAACGAGCCAAAACTGTCGAGATATAAAATAAGTGTGGTTGTTAATAATATACTCATTATGGCAATTGAAAAATCCACGTAGAAAGAAATAGTGAAGTTGATATAATGACACGGCTAGGACAATGAGTCGTTTGCCAAACGTGGTAACCCATATACTTTCCATTATATCTGTACAATATACTGTGAGCCGCAGACCAGTAACCTTCTAGTTAGTTGTACACATGCTGTGCTCGTCTCAAGTATATGACTTATCAATGAAGGAAAGTGTGTGTTTTTCCAAAACCAAAATTATAATAAGTTATAGATGCTATGGTCCATCTTAAATTCTGTGTAGCAGTCATGGAGTCGCAGCTGTCACGAATCCCGGCCAGTGGTGTTGGCCTCGCCAAATGAGTGTAATTATCGTATTCCATATCCAATATCAACTACACAACAGGTGATTTGTGACTAATAATAAATTTAAACTTGTACTGTAGACTGCATATAAAGTGTACATTTCGTATACATAAACTTGTATTAATTATCTATTATTGTATTATCGGGTGTTTTAGGTTGAAACATTACATGTGTATTTGTTTTCTGCAGTAATTCAAATTGAAATTGAAAAGAAAAGCACGTAGTTAATTATTAACAATCTGGATGAACATGGAGAATGCGTTTGCTTTCTGAAATTGAATAGTTCAAAGGGGAAATATTTAAATCACATGTTGGAATGATGTGATGTGATGTCACCCGTCATTAATTACGGTTTATCAATCTTCATTGGGTTACGAATTACTTTGCCAAGTGTATCGATTTTCAGTTGTATTTACAGGCTGGTAAGACCTTATAACACCATTGCATACAATTAATTCTTTCACAATCTAGTGCCAGGGATCGTTCTAATATGCTCACTGATGAATTTGAATTTTATCAAGGATCTTTAAGTGCAAACAATTGTTACGATTCGTAAAGTCAGTTTACAGTTTATTTCTAAAACTCCAGCCATAAATACAGTTGCTATGATTTCAAACGTGTGACCATTGCAACTCTACGTTCATTTTTCTATGAGCCTAACAACAATATAGTGCGCAGAAGTATTACAATGCAACAACGGTGACTGTGTTTAAAAGCTGTGTTTCTTTAATGTATTTTTATAGAATATATGGAAAACTATTATTAGAGTGAGCTAAGTATTAAAATATTCATCCCCCAAGTAACCGATTGTAAAATGTCAGATCAATCTTTGACTGGGAAAGAAATCTTCTGCTGTAGATGTATATATATATATTTGTATTAGCTGATATGCTATATTGAATTATTTGACTGGACAGTGCATTAAAGAAAATGTCCACAGTATTACAAGAGGCAAACACGTTAGTTGTGTAGAATCTGCCAAATCATTATGTTGAGGCGATGACCGGAGAAACGATTCTTTGCTAGTAAATATGTAATTAAAGAGGTTGAATTATGATATAATTAAGCATATACTGTAGTCCAATACGTTTTTTTTTTTCACAAATACATTGTTCTGGTACAGTTTACATCTCAGAAATCTGGCTAAAACACACCAACATCTTCTAACGGCATATTATTGTGTTGTTGCTAGGCAAAATAATTTGAGTTCTGTTCACATTATACAATAGAATATTTGTTGGTTTTAAACGCACGTGATGTGCTGTTTGATTACATCAGTGACGATGCAGGCTCGTTCACGCACTGTTATAGGCTCACGTTTTATCAAATGGATAATTGGGGATAGTCTTAGTTGGTTTTAAACAACCAACTGCGAACGAGGGCGTCATGACAAAATTTTAAATAATTAGGAACTATGTAGGCAAACATAACATGTGACACATAAATTTTGAAATTACATGCGTAATAATACTATTTGGATCATTTGATTTACACTCAGTTATGTTGGTTTACCTTTTCATATGAGTAGTCAACACAAAGTGCAGCACTCAGGCAATGCCACGATTGCGATTAACTCAAAGTTTTAAAACTGAGCTCAATACAACCAATACAATATGATCTCGATGCGGTCGGTGTGCGTATCACTAACTTACTGTCCAAGTTAATTAATTTATTTTGTTATACTCGTTGTAGTTCTATAATGCCTCTGGGGATGCACTACATCGCGAATTTATATACTTACTTGCACGGAAACAACTGATGTGCTTTGTTTAGTCATATATTCTTATTCCAATTCTCGCCTACAATCTTTCTGTTACCAAGGTAACCATGTTGGAAATGCATTTACGATATGTGGAAGTTAATAATTGCCTAAAGTCCAAACACAAATTAATGAGCTTGCAGAAAATCAACTTTCAATTATCCCAAGTATTCAGCATGTCGTTTTACACATATTGCTGTATTTCCAATAAAAGCTCAAACGCGAGCAATTACCAAAAGATATATTTACATTTACTGTGCGGAGTTGGTGAATCACTTAACTCAATTCCTATGGAAAATATTGATGCAAATGTTATTACTGTTATTACTGATCCAGGTTATGGTCCGCAGGTGCCAGGATAGCACTTGGAATTTGCACTTACTAAAAAAAAGTCAGGAGAGACAACAGTGGCACTCAATGTCCAGAGCTGTCGCCTGGCACAAACACCTTAAAATTACACACATGAGCAACTCTTTTAAACCAAGGTCGCATTATTTCGTGTTTCCAGGGAACAGCTTTGGTGTATCAATAGCAAAAAAATGTACAAATTTAGTTTCCCTTTCTCAGTTGTGAGCAATATGAATTTACTGTATATTCAGTTCTGTCAACCTCAAGTATTTTTTTAAGTTTTATGAATAGCTAGATGTATCGAGCAATGGCTCTTTATAGATATCCTAGAAGAAAATGTTAGAAACATATTGGTGACACTTAAGGTATTATATCAAGTTTTAATAACAACGGTCACGTTCACATGCCAAATACGCTGAATACACCATAAGTACTCTAGTGACAGAGCGCTTGTATGACGTCAAAATTACGTATATCGTTGAAAGTAAAAACTGTGTTTAATTGAGTACTAGTTAATCATCTAGAACATAATAAAACATAATCTTCATCCATGAACGACTAAATTCAAAACTATATCGACGCTTGTAACGTTTCATCCAGTAACGTCATTCGTTGCTAGAGAACACGAATACGAGCAATACCCAATGACGCAACATGTTTAAGACACAGTATATAATGGGCAAATTAAAAATGTGCTTTGTTATATTTATGTTACTACCTGTTATACCGTTTCAGTAATAACATGTCAAATATAATAATATTTTTCAGTGATTTCAGCTTAGTCGTTCAGATGTGGTGGATAAACATTTTGTGTCGAATCCATTGATGATCATCGAACATTGCCGACTAGCCATCTTTTTATGATATAATAAGGTGTAGGGCGTCTCCAATAATTGCTACTCCCATCAACAAGTCAAGTAGATTATTATCCGCTGTATCAACGATGATGATTTACATTTACATATAAACCGACAGTATATAAAATCATTTCATAGTCACTATTACAGTTATAGACAAAGCATCAAACAGACAACATTGTCGTTGTCTTCTTCTTCATTAACTCTTGTATTCACGATATCATCGTACCGCAAGAAATCTGTCTGTGACTTCTCCCGACCCCGGTCTTTCTCATGGATTCATCTAGCATGGCGGCAAATTCGACTGAAACCTTCCTAGATGTCAGTGCAACGGATTGCACTCAACAGTTTCTGAATACCATTGTGTAAATGACACAGCTCTCGACAGTATTGAAACATTTATTGATATCACTATAGCGAATTTCACAGATACGTTTGTTGATATTACAGTACAAAATTCAACTGAAACATATTTTAATATCAATGCAACGAATATAACTGAAGAAGTACTGGACATTATTGGTGTGAAATCGTATGAAGAAGTTTTCGATGTAATATCAGCGTGTATGCTCGTCATTGTTGCGTTGGTTGGAACTGCCGGTAATTTTAAAGTGTGTAATATTGTCTACAGTAACAAGGAACTAAGAACCCCTGCGAACATTCAGCTAGTATCGTTAGCTATAACAGATATGCTAGTTTGTATCGTAACATCTTCGCTGCGGTTTGGTTTATTAGTGAAAAGTCTTCTACATAAGGAAATCAACAACTGTAGTTTCTTCGGGAGCTATCAGTGTTTCAAGGGCGATTGGTGTAGCAGATAGATGTACACCAAGCACCAAGAGAATGGTGACCTTCTGTTCGATAACTATCTGTTGGACTACAGGGATAGGATATGCCACATGGAAGGCATGGGCCGGGGAAGACCTCTCGTGCAATTTAGAACCCGTAACTCAGGAAGTGAAAAACGCATCACGAGTTGGCGTACTCATTAATAACACTGTTTGTAATGATTTGTGTCATATTCCTACATCTACCGCGTGATCAATCGGTATGAGAAATCGTTTCAACGAGCTATGAAGGCAAGCGGCAATAGCCAGCAAAGTCAACGCAAACCAATGCACCTTGCTACACTGAAGGTGGTCGCTTCAGTCATTTCTTTGTTTATAATATCATATTTGCCAGTCACATGTTATGGTGCGGTTGTAGTCAATATTGACAGATATAGAAAGTAAGTAATGCCTTTATTGAAATCATATCCTGTTCAGGATCTGGATTTTTAAAATACAATAAAGTTTCAAATACATACAGAATGGCAAGACGAAAAATACAAATGAAGATATAGTGAAAACATTAAAATCAAATAAAAACGGAGAACAAGGAATGATTAGAAAAACAAAACAGAAAAGGTATCTTAATAAGTTATATCAATTATAAAGCAGCTGGATTTTTTGTTTCGAGTGTCATTTCTTAAATTGAAGCACTCAAAGATATATTTTGCCAAATGAATTAGTGATTGTTTATCTTTTGTTTTTAGAATGTCTACAGTGTTTTCAATATCAGATTTGTCAATTGTTGTAATGACCTTTGTGGTATGGAGGAACTTGTTTCTTAAATCAGCATAGAGAGAACGTTTTAATAGAAAATGGCTTTCATCTTCTATTTGTTTTTCCTGACAGTAGTGGCATTTTCTCTCTTCTACTGTTTGGAAACGAACATGTAAATAGTTTGCTTATATCGTTTGTGTGTTTGGGCAGCATGATAAACCCTATAATATACTCCTTAACCTTCAATCAGTTTAAACATTCCCTACCCTTTATGAAAAAAACAAAACTACCAACAAAATACAGTCAATAAACGAGCCAGAACAGGACAGAAACCCCGTGTGATAACAATGGCCATCTGACGCATGCGTAGTGACGCTTTAATGTCTTCTACTATATTAAAGCATTTATAAATGCGGAATTGATGGCATATATTTGAGAGAGCTGAAGTGTGAATGAATATTGTTTATAGAGTTGTAAAAGTAAAATGAGAACTGGAAGACTATTACTCTAAAATCATGCAGGTCAGGTCAACAGTTGAAAACATTTGGCTGAAAATGTAGAAAGTTTTTAGGAAAATCGTTAAAGTGACATGAAAGGTCGGACAAGATGTGCTGGAAGTTCTCAAAAACACTCTGCAACATCAAAATGTGTTGAAAAAGCTGTCTGAAAACAAGTTGGACGAAGTAAAAATAGTGGGATACAAAGTCGAAAACGTTGGATGAAAAGTTGGGAAAACATTTAAAAGTGGGTTAGAAAGTGGTAAGTTGTCAAAATTACACAGAATGTTGGAAAACTATACTACAAAAAGTTATTCAGAAAGTCTAAAATATTGACAAGAAAATCATAAAAATTGCCTTGAAAGACGATAACATGTCGTTAACATTGATTGTAAACTAGTTCATGTGGCATATGTACAAGCGAAGAATCTACTGACAGAGCATGTAACCACAGTCCATGATAGAGGGACTGTGATGTAACCTTTGATTACCAGTCACCACGATCTGATTTGTATACATACATACATACATTAATATTCGTATTCTCGTACTTGTTAATATTCAATTATCTACTACTATTAAATTATCTTTATTGCGAATTACGACATAAACGAATATAATATTGTACAAGTTGATCAAAACAAAGTAAAAAATTGTTGTAAAGTAGTTTGGAAAGTAATAAAAGTTGGATGTTAAGGCGGTTTAAAAGACGGGGGAAAAGTTGTGAAAAATCTAAAAAAAATACGCAGAAAAATCGGAAAAAATGGTCTGGAATTATTTACATTACAGGAAAGTCGTAATATAAACTGCAAAATTGAACTGGAAAGTAAAAAAAGTTGGCAAGTTATTAATATAACATGTGTAAAACAAAATTAATAGTAGCTTTGAAAGTCACAAGATTGAGGTGACAATTTCAAAAGTTACATTGAAAGTTGTCGAGATTGTATAGAAAGTCGTTAAGATGATTTAAAATGTAGAACAAATAAGTGGAATGTTGAAAAAGTTGGGTGGATTGTCGAAATATTTGGCTATAAAAACTTTGAAAAGTAACTTTGAAAGTAGAAAATGAATGGAAAGTCGTTATAGCTGTATAGCAATATAACTGTCGGGAAAAGTTGTGAAAGTAGACTGCAACGTTGAAATAGTAGGTGGACAAAAATGCAACTAGAAACAAAATATTATCCGTTCCGATAGTAAATGTAAAACTTGTTGATTTTTGTTGAAAGATATTTTCTGACTTGGGAAAATGAAAATTCAGGAAAAAGTGGAAACATTTCAATGAAAATACAAAAAAACGTGGTAATAAGCCGGAAAAAAATAAAAAGTCGATTAAATAGTCGAAAAAAAAGTCGTAAACGACTTTGCAATTTATTCATACCAGCCCTTGAAAATTTGCACACCATTCTGCCTAACCAAGAAAAACAAACATGCAAATTCTCACTGGCTACAGCGTAACATTTTCACATTTTTGGGAGGAATTTTGTTAACGGGCACATTTACATTGCGAAATACACGCGTATCACATCTTTTTGATTTCATTTCTCTTAAACAATCATTTTTTTAAACTAGTAATCCCCATTTATCACCTGTATTACATAGTTCTTTTAGCTGCTCATTTTATACCCATGTACACTCACGTATCAAATATGTCGCTGACTTCTTCGGGGGTTGCATGTCTGCCGGTGTTTTTTTTGACTTTTTATATTTTTGTCCTATCGTCGCCAGTTGTTTGGTAGGTTACGCATGCGCAATTAAAATGACATCGTATCTGTCGGGGATCGGGAAATGTGGGTCACCGTAGGTCAATGACCGCACTTGTACTTTCAGCGAGCTTTGCAGTCGACATGCCAGTGTGCGTGGGAATAGTTTCGCTGCACATAATCACTGAAAATTGTGATCCATGACAGGATGCTTGGAATTATTTCATTAATAATATCGTTACAAACATTGTGTTTAGCTGCCAATCTGGGTAAGTACACAAGTACGTTCACACACATTTGCAACGCTGCAGTTCCAGGAAATCCAATAATTACGCGGGAAAGATGAAAATAACAAACACGCGCCTCCTAGCTGAAGTTGAGTGACTGTTTCTGGCTTGTGGCACACAACCATTGGGTTTACAATACAATATGCTGATTTGCGATTTGTATAAGTATTCCCACGTTTTGTTCAGTAGTTATGATGTCTTAAACCACGAAGACAAACTAACTGGCCCCGACGTACGTCCCAATATTGACTTTCAAGATGGCGCCGGCAGCTGAACTCGTACATCGAATTTTGACAAATGTCTGATGTAATTTTAATTTTTGTGACAGGATCTGTTCGTGCACTGTCAGTTCAAGTTGCATTGAAAGAGTCCGAACAATATTGTATGAACTCGGCCTGCAATCACTTTCATGTAGTCGTGGTTCAATTTGATTAACGACTTTGAAGTTTCTGCCGGGAGTTTCTGGGTCCCATTTTGACGATCGTGGTAGGATCTAATATTCGTCCTTGCAAAAATTATGTGAACTCCTGTTTAGTTATAAACTTGACTGTTATTATTTTAGTTTATTGTTTCAGTTATTTACTTATTTTATGAATAATTAA